TTTTTTTTCGCCTTCTTTTTGCTCTCCCGTAATCGGTGATACCAATAAAAAGGGGGCGTGTCCCTTGTCCTCGACCGGCCGATTTCGTGATTTCAAATGTTTCATCTCGCGCGGACAAACGTGGCGGCTTTTTACCAACTGCGAAACTGTGGCCATTAAGGTCTCTTAAGATCATTTCGGGAACATCTTTTTTTTTTTTTTACATCGAGCCGCGTTAAGTGAAAGAATAGAAACTCACGTTCTCTTTTTTTCACGTTCTTCGAAATAATCACATTTGCTTCTTTCTGATCGAGATTTAGAAAAAAGGAAACAAAAAAATACAAGTCAGAAACATCCGAATGCTTTTTCAATATCTGCGAACCGTTTCATCAATCAATCAAGTCTAAATGTATGACTGTTCAAAAAAAATTTCATACTAGGAAAAACACTTACGAAATCCTGATAAGACGAACGCTTCCGTCACTAATCGCTTCACGTTTCTAATCCCATTTCGACCAAACAAGACTTTACATACACAGAGTTCGCACACAGCTACAGAGAAAACGATTCAAAGACACACGTCCTAATAGCGATCGAGCCTTGGTCAATCGGTGGCATTTGCAAGGACGCGAGCCATCGTCCAGATAGCCTTGGCTCGTGCGTGAAACGCAGTTGGCGAATAAAGCAAATAGGTTTTCCATAGAATGGGCCGTACAGCGGGGTCGGTGGGCTCGTCCGCCAGTGGTATGCAGAAAAAATCGAACCTAATTAACCCATAAAGCAAACGCAATCGCCGGGGATCTCCGGCGGTTTTATCCATAAGCGAGAGACCAGCCACTCGCCAGCCACAAGTGTGTTTCGCGATATACTATGTACACGGCTGTGCTGTACGTGCTGTACATGTGTGTGAAAAGATCGTGCGCTAGTGCACGCACAAACGATAGTCGATAGTGTGGTGCTTTCCTTCGCCTTCGGTTCATAATGTGCAATTGTACGGTGTCGTGAGTGCTGGAATTTTAAACGCGCGGCGCTCGAACGCCCCGTACCGCGTTGCGAATTATGCCAGGAGTCGACTACGCTTATCGAGCCCCGGCATTCGAGAACTATGTTAATGACGTATCGAGTATTTTAAACGATCCGACAGCTATTGAACTTAAGCGTTCGACAATTTATCGATACCGATATTCTCTTTCGTTCTCGTCGTTAGATTGTTTTTTCTTCTTTTAACTTTTTCTTTTTTTTTTTTTTTTTAGAGGAAACGAAAGAAAGCTCGATCGACGATCAACATGCACGCACGCGTAGTTAAAATTCGTCGACTCACCGGTAGATATGGAGAGCGGCGGTGGCGTAGGCGTCGTCGAAGGTGAAGGGATTCTTCTAGCCGCGGCGGTAATTATAGCCGCTGGACTGTACCGAGGCACCTGCAACACCACGGGAGTTTTCACGGACAGGTCCACTGGTTCCAGCTGCACCGGCGGTCCCGCCGCCTGAAACAAAAACGAACGTGCTCGTTAGCATGACACGTCAATTACGGCGATCGATCAATTTCGCAAACTACGCTTCCACCTTGTCGCGAAACGCACCATATTTCATACGTGCCAACGCATCGCGGAACGAGATCATATCGTCGTCACGTGCATCGCGATCCGATATTACGAAACGCAATTCGGCCACAGACGGTTAAATGCAGTCTCGCGCCAATTAAAACGGAAACGCGAAAGTTCGAAGAGGCGAAGTTCGAAAGAGAGGGAGAAAAATTCGAACGCTGAAAGGAAACATTCTCGGCCGAGGCAGCTTCCGTAATCGGAAACGAAATTCACGCGGTCGACGATCGAGGCTATCAATGATCGAGAGCGGCCGATCGGAAGACCTATCCTAGAGGGAGTGAGTCCGATAAATCGATAGCCAAAGGTACTACCTTCGTACCAAGCTTATCTAACGGGCAGCTCTCGGCGCTGGTAGCAGGCTCAAGTGCTTTCGCGCAATTAGCATAACTAGCATTGCTATTGACATGGACTAATCACGACCAGTTCCCACGAGATTCGAATGACCCGAGAGCTTGCCCGCTGTCCGTATCACCGATGCTATTCGGATGCTTCCTCGATCGTCTTCGATTGTCCGAACGACCGGTCGATCGAAGCCGAAATCACTTTCGCGCATTGAAGCGCTAGTACACCGTCGAACATCGCCCGAAGATTCAAACGTGTACGCGTGTCTTGCTGATAGTTTCGAACTCGAGACGTATCAGACGCATGAGAAATCAAGTCGTCGTCGGACGACGAGCTTGACGATTAAAGGGGAAAGATTTCAAAGGAATCGAGTCGTCGATCCGTCTTCGTTACGTTTTTATAATCCGAGCAATTATAAGATCATCGTCGGCGTTCGCTTGTCGCGCTTAATTACCTGCGTAGTTTCCCTCCGTTTGCGAAGATTTATGGTCGCGGCGCACGCGAGACCGACATCCGACGCGAACCTGTCGTTTCAATTTTTCACCGCGAACCGTTGATTGCCATTCTTATTGCCGCGGATTAATATCACACGACGGACATTCAGAATTAAAAGTGAGTTCAAAGGATTTACAGTTGTGTTTCTTTGATAATCCTCGACTTCTTTCGTGAACCTCGGAAATTTGTCGAATTATCAGTGCCACGTTCGATTTGAAATTGTTAGGTTGCTACATTACGAATGTCGACGAGCAAAACAACCAAGGTTGGTAATGCATGTATGTGTGTGTGTGAATAGTGTGTGTATTAGAAGTTAGATTAGGAAAACAGAAGAAGAAGTAATAATATCAAGAGTTTGTCCAAAGTGTGAAAAACAAAGAAACACTGTGTGCGGAGAAACAAAGTAATTTCTCAAAGTGACGCTTCTCTAAATTCTTTTTTCCAACAGGAATCAAATTTTTCCCTTTTTATCCCGTTATTCGAAAACACTCCTGCGAAAACGGGCCCTTGCAGTTAAAAGCGTCCAGTTAATTTTCTACTCCAAAACTCTTTCTCCAAAATCTTTCGTCAACCTCGGAAATTTGTCGAATTATCAGTGTCACGTTCGATTTGAAATTGTTAGGTTGCTACATTACGAATGTCGACGAGCAAAACAACCAAGGTTGGTAATGCATGTATGTGTATTGTGTGAATAGTGTGTGTATTAGAAGTTAGATTAGGAAAACAGAAGAAGAAGTAATTTCTCAAACTGACGCTTCTCTAAATTATTTTTTTCAACAGGAATCAAAGCACTCCTGCGAAAACGAGCCCTTAGCAGTTAAAAGCGCCCAATTAATTTTCTACTCCAAAATCTCAATTTTAAATTCACGCAAAAAGTAGAGAAATTGATTGTTCAGATATCCAACTAACACTGCGATTCTTTCGTCTTTAACAAGAAACGGAGAGTGATGAAAATTAGCAAAATACTGAAAAAAGGACACTCTCGACTTGACGTCGTCTCCTTCGACACAACCTGTTTCCGTGAAACGGAAGAAGTGACAGCGAGAAAGAGCCATTTTGTATTCTACGAATGCTCGCGCGGAGGATCGTTGCCCGGTGTATCGGATTCGTAAAACAGTGGGACGAAAGATCAGATTTACACACGCGACACGGCGCCCTCGACCACCTTCGAGAGAGCTCGATTGTTTCCAGGTAACGTCTTGATGAGACGTGGGAATGCTCGAGTGCATGGTTATCGACAATGAAAACCGAGGGTAACCGCCGCCTCCGTACTTTCCGTACAGCCTCGAACGAACGGTATCGCGTCGTGCCACACGAAACTCGGCTAATAACGTAACCCGGTTGACAACTGGATGAAGTGGTATAACCGTTGCACGGTTAACAAATCGTGGACAATGCCAGGAGAAAACGAAACGAAACGAAACGAAACGAAACGAAACGAAATGCTGTCGCGTTAGCTAGGCTACGTATGTATGTACGTCGTGTTCGATTCACGCTCGTTGGTTTCCAGCGTTTCCAAACTTCGTGCTTCGAAACGGGGAACTCTTTGGCTGGAAAACGATCTCGTGCAGAGAGGCAAGAGATTTCAGGAATATCGGTCGAATGAATATATTCAACGTTACAATCCACGAGATGGAGTAAACTAAGAATACTCCAAGACCGAAACGAAGGATGCTTAAATAAATAAAAGAGCCAGCGTTCCCCGCGGAAGGTGACAAATAATTTAACAGCCAGGTGATATTATTCGCCGGCCGGAGAACTCGTGAAAACGACGGAATAACCCGGACCGCGCTGAAAAATTAAAATTTCCGCCCTTCGGATCGATTCGACGGAGCGTTTTAGGTTAAAACGGGACAGGACCGCGGAAAATAAGCGAATCAACTGGCCGAATTAACGAAGCGGCGTCTCCTTTCTTACCTGGCTTTCGCTTCGATCCGTTTCAGCGGATAGATCCGTAGCTACACACGTCCGACTCGTACTTTCTCGGCAACGTTTAAAAACGTCCACTATCCACCGACGTTCGACGTAGACGACGCGAGCAACAGCTCGACTCGCGATAGTAACACGACGCAATTTGTTATCACGAGTCGTGCTCCGAATAGGAAGAACTTGCGAAACCAACTGGCAAATCGATCCACAAAAACAGATACTCTCGTCACGCGAGACACGCCCATCGCGGCGCTCTTGTTTTCAGAAAACTCGCCGCGACTCGTCGTATTGTATTTGTTATTCATGACCGAGGACGCCGAGGGTCTAGCAGAGACAAGTCGTAAGTTTTGGGCCACGACAATGAAAACAGAATGGCACGCGGGTTACGACGCACCGGAGACGTCGCTATCTTTGCAACATCGCCCGTTCTAATTGAGAAACTCGGCTGCCGAACGATCGATTCGGCATGTTCCAGGGGGACGATGGTTATAATAAAACCACTGAGACCATCGCGCGAGCATCGTATATCCAATATACGGGCGTGGAAAGTTACGACATGGCACTCGGTATGCGAACGACGTAAATTGACAAGCTTGCCGGCGTAATTGCGCAAGTGACGGGGGTGGGAAAAATTAGAGAGAGGTTTCGCTTCTGTTTCGAAAATTTTTAAGACTCGAAACCCGAAACGTTCCAATGTTGAAAAGAATTTGAAAATTCGGCGTTTGAATATTTTATATGTATAAAAGAAATTATGAACTTGGATGTTAAAAAGATTGGGAATCTGAATGTTTGAAAATCTGACCTATGCAAACAAATTTAAAGACGAATCCTCAAGTTACGCAAAGTCAGCTTATCTTGCGTGCGTAATTCACTTCCTCAGTGATCTTTGTCCAACAAGAGTACACGGTGACGTACACGTGTACGCGAGAACGAAATTGCAAATCGATACGTTTGAACGAGAATTCAGTGAGCAGGTCCGGTCTCTCTACACGTGTCGTTTCGCGCGATTTGTCTCCTACGGTGGAAAATCTATCGACATAGCCCGTAGAACCGCTCTTTACAAAAAAAAAAAAAGAAAGAAAGAAGAAGGAAAAAGAAAGGAAACGACGGCGGCAGACCTGCTGTTCCACGGACGAAATCAAACGACGTATTAAATCTGCGATGACTAATGAAAGACCGGGTAAACTGTTCTTAATGATGCCCGGTGCGCTCGAGATATATAACGGACATATGTAACAGCTTATATACCGCATATTACACGTACATATGTTCCCACAGTAGCGACTGGTAATGAGAATATAACGTTCATCAATCATTCGTTGGGCAATCGGCGACCGAACGACTCCCGGCGGAATTAATTTAATTACTACAAATGTTCCACGATAAAAATGGCCGGCGATCGATACATTGTCAGTGACCGGATTTACACACCGGTCGCTGTCCCCGCGATTTGTAATTTATGCAGAGAAGATTTATGCAACGGAATTCGAATTCGGTGAGGATGGACGAGGATAGGCGCGATTTAATTGCGAGAATGTTGCTAGATCGGTTAAACGTAATTAAGAAAATTTAATAATGGATAATGACCTCTAATAAATATAATAATACACCGGCGAGGTACGGTGATCGATAACTTTTAATGAGCCGTCTCTGGCCTAAGGAAATTGATACCGGGTTCCTTCATTTGTCAGCCGTTGCGTTGGATACCGCGCGTCAAAGGAACGAACGTTCTTCCTGAATCGGCAGCTCGCTTGCCAATTAGACGGGTAATTAAAACTTACGCAACGCAAAGTGACGGTGTGATTTTTAATTCTTTTTCGGACAATTAAAATTCACTCGGTCTCTCGGAGAATTAAAAATCACTCCAGTCTTTGGTAATTGAAATTTAAAAATCAACCAATTGTTGGTTCCACGTGAGAATGCGATATTTAGAATGTTACATATACAATTTGTAAATACGTGATCAAATTGAGTAACTGGCCTGTTTCACGTTTATCGCGCTTTACTGTGAAATTCACCCAGTTTTCAATGCTCGCGTAAACATTACTGCTGAATCTTGACACTTGAATTTCGCCTTTTAGTCTAGATGAAAATCGTGCGCGCGAGGAAAAATC